TTATTTACAGAGACCCACCATGAGCAAGACCTTGGTGATGAGAAGATTGGAGCGTTATAAAGGGTTTTAAGTTTACTAAGACCCCAGCCTTTATCAGACCTTCAATTGTTGGTCTGATAGCCCCACATCTTTTTCACTCACTAAAAATGTCTCTGCCTTTCCCTGACATACTGCCGATTTTGGATAAACATTTTCCACAGTGGGTTTCCATTCATAAACCTTTAATGCTGTTTTTACCATTGCACCTAGTTTGTAAAACTCATGTCCCCCTTATATCAATAATGTTGTGTGGGGAGTGGAGTTCTGAACCTGAAACCACCTTTTGTAGTTCTGGTGGAAGTATCACTTCTGCACCTTGTGGCCCTATGTAGATATCTGTGCCGATAACGGAGCATTAATTCTTATTGGTTAATTCTTCCCAGCATGCCTTATAATCGTTTGATGTTCACTATAGGGGAGACTGCAGTGTAGAGGTAATTGGGGTTCATCAGCCTTACCAACCTGGGCTCATACCCATTTTGATGTCTTATACTTATGATGTCAGCTGCAGCCAATACACCATCGGTTGCACACAGCTAGATACCTTTTGCTGAGTTCTTGCAGGCAGTTTTCCTGTTGCTGGATCTTTATATAGAGTCACATGATGTGTGCACATGATGTTGGCTTTTAGAGGAGAGAAAATGTGTCTTGCCCTTAGGTTAATGAGGGTGTTGGCTTTATAAAGTCAGGGTGTCTGCAGTCTGGGGTGCTGTCACCGCTGGTGTGGCTTTCTTTATCATCAGCTTCAACAAGCTTCGGGTAGTGTTGTTAGTGTCTCAGGCCCTTCCTGTTTCACCTTTCCATTTGTGCTGGAAGGCGTGTAGAAATTTGGATGGACATTTGGCATCTTTCAGCACATCCTCTGCCAGTTTAGACAGGTACGTTTCTTTTGTATTGTTTTCTCAGCTCTATTTAATGAAAACTATTGCAACATTCTCAAATATTTACTGACATTTATTTAAAATATCTATTGAAACCTTTGAATGTTGACATTTTCTTTAATACATCTACTGAACTGTTATGGAATAAATGAAACTCTTCAAGATTAATGTATCTTTCTTGAACATCTGCTGTGTATCTGCTTCCTGTCAGTATTTAAATCAGACTAACTTTAGTTCAGCTCACAGTGAAACACATCAGACATGACTTCTCTTATTTCTGACAGACGCTAGTTAAGGCAATAATTCAGATACAAAAGGAAGTGCTATCAGATGCAGCTCTTCTGCTGACTCTCGTGGAAATATTAGAACGGAGACGACACCTTCGTGTTCAGTGATTTCTGACAGCGGAGACTCTAAAGATCAACTGTGAGCATTTGGAAAATGTACTTATGCACAGGTCTGTTTTTGTGTTAAAACATGACTTTATTTTTTTTAAAGTCCAAAATCAAAACATCTCAAAAATTTCTCAGTTTGAGATTTAAAGAAAAATCTGTTGCACTCAAATCAAGGTAGTTAAGATGAGATTAATTGTGCAAACATTTCCTTTGTTGTAGCTTCTCAGCTTTTCTTTGTAGTACCTGATTTGGATTTTAACTGTTGGACATTTGGGCTGTAGGAAATTGGGCTTGTTTCATCATTTTTGTGATCATAACTGAAAAAATAATTGGTAGATGAATTGATAATGAAGATAATCTTTAAGAATCTAGTTACAGCCCTAAATAAGTGTGATATGTGTTAATTCACAAGTTTTAGTGAGATTTCCATATTTACTGTGCAGCTCTTCTCAGTAAGTAAGTCAGGAAGTGTATTTCCCAAAATGTGAAACTCTTACTTTAAAGCTTCTATATGTAACTTTAATTTAACTGTGAATTAATTAATAGTGCCACCAGTGAACTACAGTCAGCTTCCTGTTGCATCATCCTGGGTGTCGACCAACAGTGACAAACCCTAGACTGAACGCTGTAAAATAACTGACAATCATATTAAGAATTACATTAGTATCGGCAATGTTCTTATATTTTATTTGGACCATTAGTGTCCAATGCTACTAACCTAGCTCTAATCCGCACCCACTATGCCAGCCTACAGCCGTAACGGCAAGCCAGACAGATCAGCAACAGGAAGCCTGCATGAAGGCTAACTGACAGTATTTTTGTTTGCTAGTGTTAAGTACTTGGCAATTTGCCACATTAGTTGCAAACTAACATCAGTCCAGCTAACATACAATCTTCACAATATTTTCCACAAGCTTTGCAGTAATTGTTAGGCTTTGACATTGGACTTTGTGTTGGACTCTGTGGTTGGACCACCGTTAGCCCAGTGTTGCCCACTGCTTGACCACCCTGTAGGAAAGCAGAGAGAGAAAGGCATCAGGAGCATAAACACTGTATTTTCTTTGTAATTTTATATGTATTTTATATTGTTTTTACCTGTAAGGTGACCTTGGGTGTTATGAAAGGCGCCAACAAATAAAATTTATTATTATTATTATTATTATTATTATTATTATTATTATTATATGAAACAAAGAAGAAAACAGAATTTTTGTCAAATAAGTGACTTAAATTATTCTTCAGTTACATTAAAACATATTGTCACGAAAATCAAGGTAGTTAAGATGGAGATTAATTGGTGCAAACATTTTCCTTTGTTGTAGCTTCTCAGCTTTTTCTTTGCTAGTACGTGATTTTGCGATTTCGTAACTGCCGGACATTTGCGGCGTAGCGAAATTTGGGGCCTTGCTTTCATTATTTTGTGCTGATCGATAACTGAAAAGAAATAATTAGTAGATTAATTGCATAATGCAAGATAATAACTTTAAGAATCTAGTATACAGCCCCTACAATAAGCTGTGATTTTATGTGTTAATTTCACAAGCTTTTAGTGGGACGATTTCCATATTCCCTATGCACTTCTTCTCAGTAGGTAAAGTCAGGAAGTGTATTTCCCAAAATGTGCAAACTCTTACTTTAAAGCTTCTATATGAACTTTAATTTAACTGTGCAATTAAATTAATAGTGCCACAGGAACCTACAGTTCAGCTCCTGGTTGCATCATCCTGGGGCGCGTGTCGGACCAACAGTGGACAAACCCTAGACTGCAACGCCCCCTGGCCTTAAAATAACGAACAGATCATATTAAGGAATTTACATTATATCGCGAATTGCTTCTTATATTTTATTTGGGCGATCCATTAGGCTCCATGCCTACGTAAGCTAGCCTCTAATCCGCACCACATTATTGCCCAGCCTTACAGGGGCGTAACGCCCAACAGACAGATCAGCAACAGCGAGCCTGCATGAAGCTAACTGACATTATTTTTTGTTTGCTATGTTAAGCTAACTGGCAATTTGGCGGGTCCCACATTAGTTAGCAAACGTAACATCAGTCAGCTAAACATACAATCTCACATTTTTCCACAAGCTTTGCAGGTAATGTTAGCCTGTTGACATTAGGACTTTGTGCCTTGGACTCTGCGTTGCCGACCACGTTAGGCCCAGCTGCTGGCCACTGGCTGACACTGTTAGGCAAAGGCCCAGAGAGGGGAAATGGCCCCACTCAGGGAGCATAATTATTTCTTTGTTAATTTGTATATGCTATTTTATACTTGGTTTTTACGCCTGTAAGGTGACCGTTGGGTGTTATGGAAAGCGTGCCAACAAATAATAATTTATATCTAATTCATTATTAATCATTATAAACGTCACATCCTCTTGATCCTCATATAGAAATCCGTCCACAGGCCCAGGTAGGGAGAGAGCTTCGCTTATGCTACACCCGTTCACTCACTGGCGATACAAAAGCGACTTTGCTTCCTTTAGAATCTATGTATGGTACCTTTAACGGGGTAAAGTGGAATGCTTTTGGTGGCTTAACATGTTGTCCTTCTACAGATTTGACACCCTTTCAACAACATTTACCAGCAAACAAATCTTTCCAGCATCACAGTAACCTCAACAGACGTACCATCGCGCCCGCAGCCCCCCCCGCCGTCGGCCAACGCATCAGCATGCCAGCAGGGTTGGCGAAGTTCTGTCTTACTCAGTACAGAGAGCGTCTTGCTTACTTCTCTGCTCTCCTGCATCTATCCCCTAATCCTTCACTTTTCTTATTCGCCTGAAAAGCTGCCTATTGATTCATTCCAAAGATGCCTTGGGCTGAAGGTTTCATTATTAGGACTGGCTCACAGCGCTAAACTTGTCATTATCCCTGGAGGACAGTCCCTAGAGACGGCCGCGCGATGCCCCTCAGTAAACCTCTGACAGGCAATCAGATCGAAAGCTAGTTAAACAATGGAAGCATGTTCAAAATGGGCTTCTCAAAGGGCTGAGAACTTTGAACCCTGGACTGCTAATAATATTGCCTCACATGGACATGCCGGGTCTTTCATCCATTGCCGGGTGTCATTGATAAAAAGCTCTACATGCAGCCATAACAGACTCACCAAAGTTTGGACCAGCCAACTCTTTCAGGGGGGTTGGCTCAAACCTGCACCCTGCCCTAGGACCTCAGGCTTAGCCAACAGCATTCAGTTTCATTCATAAGTCAGCGCTTTCAGTCCTGTCCAGCCTTTACAAACTGTGTTGCCCTAGACAACCAACATGGGCCATTCAACAAAGTTGCAGACATTCCAGCCATCCCTACAGGGCTACCACAATTCTACAGCAATCTGAGCTATTAAAGCCAATCTGTTTCCTTCCTTCCAGACCAAAGATCTTGCCCCGCACTGAACAATGCCCTCAGGGGGCCTGAAGTGTTAGATGTTCTTAGCAATTAAGGGGTTTAAAAAGTTCAGCCATCACAACACAGGATTTCCTCACCTCGGAGCATGATAGGACCTTTCGATGTTGACCAATCTGATGCCGATGGGAATGGAAACATACCTGACAAGTAACTTTACTTAAAAAACCACAACTAGAACTTTTGCTTAAGTCAATACTTCATCCCTTTCTCACACCCCGATGATCCAAAATGCTTCTACAGTGTGTGCT